CACCAGGCCAGGAAACACGAAATTGCTACTCTACCCTTAATAGATTTAGTGGTGGACTTGTTGGTAATGTTAGGTTAATGGTTGGACTGGATGATCTTGAAGGTCTTTTCCAACCTGAACGATTCTATGATTCTATAAGTAGGTATGTCCTAACATTTAGTCCTGACTGGTTTTCAGAACTACTGTCCTCCTGCTGCTACAATATACACCAAAACACGTGCAAGGTATGGAGAGTATTTTCAGTTCATAGACCAGTGTCAGCTTGACTAGACATTCAACATCTACATATAATAGACAAACCAATAAAAGTATCAAATTTAATCAAAAATACCAGCCTGTTCCTTTGTATAGAGACACATGCTGGGGTACCACTCATTTCATGAAGCCCAATGAGGCTGTATCTATTCCAACCACATCTCTTTTAATCCCAGAAGTACAAATCACATTAGCAGCAGTGTTCCATCTTTTCCAGAGTGCAATTTTGACCCTGAGTTTACAGTAGTAGAAAACTTAAATGGAAGAGCCTAAGCAGATTCTTTTGCATATTGGCTGCATTAAACAATTATAGTAGAACTACAAAAATCCTAGGGAAAAAAAAAAAAACATACTCCTTGTTCAAGTTCTGCAGAATAAATAAGTGAAATGGCCCTCCTGTGCTTTGCATTAGAGGAGCAGAGCAAGCGTGGCTAGAAGGCAGGCTCCACCAGACAAGATGGATAAATCTTGGGCCTGGCCCCATTAGATGCTGGAACAAAGCAACAAGAACTGGCAAACTGAATCACAATCAGCTGTTATTCGAGGCTGGACACCAGAGTCAGGTATGGGCAGAACAAAGCTATGGCCCATGTCTGGGAATCTTCAAGAGGCTCAAGCCAGTCTGGACACTTCTTTACAGATCAGTGCAAAAATGACACCTAAAGCTAAAGGCATTGATTCCCCTTCCCATCCCTCACACAGTATGTTCAGCTTCCTTCACAAGAACGTAAATGGCACATCAATTCCATGATGGTTCAGTCAAACTAGACCCAGAAGCATGCTGAGAACAAAGCATGAACCTTCAATGGTTTTCCAAATTGACACCCAATCTAGTTGTCAAATCATGACCACTTCTGTGAATCCAGCTAACTGCCCAGATACTCCCAGTGCTCCAACTCCAGAACTTCACTGGGGCCTCTGATGTGAGAAGTATTACAGAAGCCTTCCAGACCCATACAGTGCCTGGATGGGTGGACTCGGATAAGCACTGAGAGAATCTACATCCATCCCGGGATTACAGATCTGTTCTTAAGAAGCGTGCTTAATTGGCAGCTGATCTTGAACAAGGAATATGCAAGGCCACAGGCAGAATAAATCATACACCTTAGAAGTAGTTATATTCCAGAATCCAGTGCAAATATTCTCTGAAGATGCCTGATAGCATCTAGTCCACCCTTGGCATCAGGATCCAACAAAAACTGTGGTGAGGGAGGGACCCAGAAGCTTATTTCTGCGGTGCTTGCATGGACATTTGGAAGGTGCACTGACACGTTTTGTCCAGCAGCCGCCGCTGTAGGCTAGAAGATGAAGTGATCAAAAATACAGAGCAGGCTCGCTGCTGAAATCGGAGAGTCCGCCCTTCTCTGCTGGGGTGAGCTGTGGAGAAAGCAGAGTTGACATGGAGGCGTCATCAAATCCAAAGCAAGTGAGTACCCACACCTTTGGACGGTGAAGACTGCATTGGCACCTTGCCCAGGGCTAACGAGCACATTTAATTTCCCCCTCCAAACTTGCCCTGGAGTACAAAGTGTGCCAGCTGCCTTAAGTCTCCTTTACGCATACAGGGAGAGGCAGGTCTGCTCGTGGCAGCGGGACCTTGTGTTGATCCCTTTGTGATCAGTGGCATGCCTCCCTGGGCAGCCAACACACACACCGGTGTTCAGTGGAAGGCACGTCCCATCCCATCCACTGTCCAGACCAACCTGAGCACAGCAGGACAAAGCCAAGACCTGCTTATTTAAAGTCTCACCATGACTTGGTTCCCATGGGAATCAGCTTCCTTTGGGAGGGGTCCCTCTGCAGCAGGCATCTCCTCATATTTCTGCTCCTGCCACTCGCTGAACTTCACGGAGTGCTTTGGGGTGTAGCTGGATAAATCTGCTGGAAGGACAAAGCTTATGTGAGTATTTCTCACTGCCCCAAAAGGAATTTGGATCAGGATTCTGGCAGGGACAGCATGGAAGCTGCCCATCTGCAGTTCCCTGTTCTGGTCCAAGTCCTGTCCCCACTAAGCCCCAATTCTGCTGTCAGAAGTCACCTCCATTAGCATTCCCATCTGTGTGGAGCCCCTACAGAGGGTCTGTAGGAAACGTGGACAGTGTCAGACACCACCAATAACCCCACAGTGCCACCACAGTGCCTTGCTCACCTGAATTAGGTGTATTGGGATGCAAAGTGCTATTTGGGCGTGGAATGTGAAAGGTGCAAGACTTGTCCTCCTCTGTTTCAGAAGCATGTCCTTCCTCTTCCTCCTCCTCCTCCTCCTCTTCTGCCAGTGAGCTCTCTGACGGGTACTCAAACATAGTCTGCAAACTTGTCTCATTGAAAGAGATCTTCATCTAGACAACAGCAAAGGAGAATTATTAGAAAGCAGCACAAGAAACCATTGATTGTAACATTTGCTCTGGCAAAGATCACCTCCCACCCCAGGGCTTCACCCTGCTTTATGCCATTACATATCCCCCCACCTTTCCCCATGTGCCTTGTTGAATCTCTTACTACACTGAGAGAAACCACAAAGGCAGATAGCCAAGGAGATGGGATGGAGTCAGGAGGCTGAAAGGTTGAGAGTACCTCTGGCTTTTTGCCGCAGCACACACTTTGCCATTGTCTAACACTGCAATGCCCAGCAGCCAGGAGGAGCAGCTGGCATGTCCCTCAAAAGGGATCAGTGTTGCCAAGGAAGATAGGAAAGCATCCCCATGTTGGAAAGGTGACATCGCTAATGCCTGCCAACTCATTTCTGTACCCATGCTCTAGAAAGTAGAAACATCAGTGATCAGGACTATATTTTGGGGAAGACATCCTGGCAAAAAGCTATTTAAGCTAGATAAAAACAGGGTTTAATACCAAAAGTGAGAAGATGGAAGCAGCTAAAGGAGAGGTGGTAACAGGTGGTAGTAGAGAGAGGGGGAAAATACTGGACAAGTGGGAGATTCTTAAAGGTTCTGTTTTGAAACCAATTTAGTATTCTCACTAGTGACCTTTGCACAATAACTGGGAGAGACTGAGAATGAAGATGACTCCAACATGGGAGTTCATCAAGGAAAAACCAGAATTTTATGGGTCATTCAGAAAACTGGAGAGCAGGAACACTTAGAAACGGGACAATGTTTAAGATCAACCCTTGCTCTAAGAGAAGTTCATCACCTGTGAATAACTGAGAAAGAAAATTCTGGATTGGCTGCAGGACTGTAATCATCATTCGGATGCTACTTAAATAAAGTGGGAATAAAGCACAGCATTTCCACTGGAAATAGGGACTGCCTGGCTCCATCCTGCCTGTAACACCCCACAGGTAGTGGAAGGCAGCAGCTGGACTCCCCCCTTCTCTCCTCCAGGCTGAATAAACCACCTCCCTCAGCTTCTCCTCAAATGCCATTTCCCCCAGCCCCAGGAGCACTTTGGTAGCCTCTGCTGGACTTGCTCCAGTTTCGGCATCTATCCTGTAGCAGGACACCCAAACCCAGACACAGTAACTCCAGATGTCCTCTTCTACGTTGAAAGGAAAAGCTGAAGGAAGGGGTTGTTCCCCTGCAGCCTTACTTGTCCTAATCATTATCTACCATTCTGCTTAGAAGATCTGGTTACAACTCATTTCAACAGGTGGAGAGGAGATTCAGCCTCTTCACACTAGCAAAAATGAAGGTTGAGAAAAAGCCTAACAGCTCTTTTTAAGTACACCAAGGAAATAAACACCAAGGAGCAGAGAAGAACTGCTGATGCCAGCATACAACAGACAAACAAGGAGGATAAGCTTGCCAGGAATAAATTTAGGCCAAAAGTAGGGAAGTATCTAGCCAACGCAGATCAAGGTTCAGGACCAGCTGCCTAAAAGGGTGTTGTGATCCCTTTACTTCTAATTATATTTAAAACTGAGCTAATAGGGTTATGAACAGAATTAAAAGGATGTGGTTGCTGGTGACAGGCTGTAGGAGCTGGATGATTCAGATGTCTGCTGATGCTGTATAATAACTGGCAAGAAGTGTAGCACATTTGCCCTGTGTGCCTTATTTGCAGTTTCCGTCATATACAAAATACACCACAGCCTGAGAAACAGCATGTGGCCCCAAGCACCTATCAAGCAACCACGTGCTGCCCAGACGCATGTATTTCTTGCGACAGCAGCAGCCGCCTCTCTGCATCTCCTGTGCATGGAGCACTGGTGCGATGCTGATGCTGCCAATGGGCCCAGCTGAAGCCAAACCTGCAACTGCATGGGGGGACAGAGTCTGCAAACTGGCACTGAGTGGGAGCCAGCCTGCTACTGCATTATTCTGCGCTGCCCATAGACAGACACGCTGGAGCTATGTGGGTGATAAGGGTTTTCATGGCAAGACAGTGAGCATTTCACTGCTGCTTTTCAGAAAAGCAATGAGGGGAGCTTTAATCAAATCCAGGTAACAGAGTAAGTACCTAACGCCTCGTCCACACTGCAAATAGGCACGATGGGCCTGTGTGCTACTCTGCCTGAGTCCAGGACTGTAACTCAGACACAGGCTGGTTCCCTTCCTCACGCTCACTGGAGAAGGATGGATGAAAATAAGAGAGGGTAACCAGCTGCCTTTCTCCATTCCCTGCCCCAGCCCTGGCCAGAGCCACTCCAACCTTCTCCAGATGACACATGGGGAGGAGAATGGTTATATTTCAGAGAGAAGAGGTCGGAATAAAATGACCTTGAAGATCAGAGCATCCCAGTTGCTGTTCCCTGGATTTCTCACTCCTGCTGCTGACCTAGATGCTCCCTGATCCGAGCCAGGAGGCGGAGCAGGCAGCGACTGCTCACAATGTGGTGTCTGTACTGTGGGGACGAGTCACGCTGCCAGGCACAAAGGCCATGAGGGTGGAGGTGCCCAGGGCTCCTGGAACCTCAGAAGCTATCCCAGAACCAGACACTGCACACAGGCTGCTTACCAGTGCTGGCAACTGTGCTGAAGGCCAAGAAGTACTTGGCTAAACATGGAAAATATAAAAGGGACAGGAGAGATGTGCTTGTTTTTAGAATTTAAGCTTGAGAGATAGAACTAAGTTTTTCTTGTTTTCTGCTATCAGGAGGAAATCTCTAAGAAAAATGACTGCAAGAGGAGAAAACAGCCTCACCAGGGAGTAAAAACAAAGAGTAGAAAGCAGCAGAAATGACCAGGAGACACCCCTCAACACAGTGCCCAGAGGCAGCATGCCAACCAGCCTAAGCCTTGAACTAAAGCAGCTTCCCCTTGCCCACAGCCAATTCGACTTAGGCCACGCTGGCTCCTGGGAGCCAGGCTGGGTGTCCTGCAGAACACTCTGCCATGGGATCTGTCAGGTACCTGCTGCAGAGAGGCCGCAATGCTGTAGGAGGCAATCTTGAAGCTATTCGAAAAGAGCAATCATTAACCACAGTGGTGCCAGCCCCACACACACAGGGCCCCAGCCTGGAGGAGAGCTCATAACAAGATAATTTGCTGCTTCAGCAAGACCTCCGTTTGGGCTAGCGCAGCCTACGTGAAGGCTGACACCAGGCAGTCCTGCTTGGCATGAATGCACCCCGGCACAAGAACCTCCCCCAGAAACCATGTTGGCTTGCTCTACGGTAGTGTCCCAACCCACTGCACCCAGTGCGCTGCTACCAAGAAGCAGGAAGAGCCCTACGGCCGCTCTGCAGTAAAGCACTCGGACACACCCAGGCAAAGCAAACACTGGAGGAACAACCAGGTGCTGGCACACGGTTGGACTCTGGCAAACAGGCTCTGCATGAGCAGCTGCCTTCCCCACACCTGCACACTGCCCCGGGGTGCTCAGGCAACCCTGCCCATGCAGAGCGAGAGCCCCAAAAGCAGCCCCAAAATGGAAAGTGATAAACCTGTTGTGGCGTCACCTGGGTTCTTCCCACGAGCTCCCCTCCCCAAGCATGAGGTGGTTTCAGGGGAAGCACAATGCAGCTCTGCTTGATCCAACAGATGCAGGGCAACTTACTCAGGCAAAACTAAGGGACACATGGGTCAACATAGCTTCCTTAAGAAACCCTCTGAGCAGCTAATGAGCAGAACTGAGCACTGTGCATAGGGAACACAGGCAGATTCAGTCCCAGGAACCACCTAAAAAGAAAAATAAAGAGCCCAGTAATGGCACAGACAACAGGCTTGCACAGCTAGCAGCCCCTTGCCAGGCCATATGGACTTTTATGGAAACACAAAAGGCAACAAGGGTCATTTTCTTCAGAAGAAAAACGTATCCCAGAAGAGCCAAGCACACTTGAGCCCAGCCAGAGAACTCTGCTCATCATATCTCTGCAGCTGTTCCCCCATTTCTGCCTCAATAGCAGCTGCCAGTTGTGGAAAGGAAGAATTTTGCACCCTTCAGCTGTGGATGTTTGCAGGGATTTATCACTATTTGCTCAGCTGAATGCTTCACCCAGAACTGTGTCGTAAAACCAGGGTCCAACTCAAACCCATATATCTATACATTAATACTCTGCCCAGCAATCAGAGCCACACTGTGAAGAATAAGGCAGGCTTTTCAGGGAATATTGTGCTGTTCAGCCATCAGATACTTGTTGCCATAGCAAAAATTATTTATTTATTTGCTAGGATTTGAACACTAATGAGTAATAGAGGAGCCAGGGTAAACATTGCCCAGCAAGCATAAATCTGAGTAGTCATACAGGGCTCCTTTAGAAAAGAAAAAAAAAAAGTCAACCTTGCTTCAGGGGATGCAGGCTGTCAGGACCCAGTCTGCACCCAGACCAACAACAAAAGAGCTCCCATGTACAGAGACATATTAGAAATAAAAATAACCCGTTTACAGAAAACAACCTGCGACACGAACAATGAAAGTCAGCAGACACCTCACCTCCAAAAGCTGAGGCAGGAAAGTCTGCAAGACTCCACAGTTAATGAAAGAGCAAGTACCTGATGGCTTCTCACAAACCAGGGATATCTCTGTAAGTCTCAAGAGCAAATCATGGGGTTAATCTCCATCCTCAACTCCAGAAGCAAGCTCTTCAGTGTGTTTTTTCTCTTCTCCACCCATTATCGCATTTGCTTCTAAGCACATGTGGCAAGCCAAAGTGATCATGTAAGGTGGTTTACACCTTTTAAACAGGAACCTCTTTGGCAATTCAAATCCTCACCTTATAATAGTAAGGAAAAAAAAATTGTTCTAGGCATTAAAAGAAAAAATAGAGGGGAAAAAGAGAATCACTGTTTAACTATGTTCCAGCAAGGAGAGTCGGAGTCAGCATGTTGACCCCCATCGTAGCAGCCTACAATGGGACTGAAACAACTGAGCCCATTTCCCCTTCCCTGCAGAGTGATTGTGAACAGCTGTCTCCCAAACCCATGGCTCTTGCAGGAGGCTG